ATATTTATATATAAAGCATTAAAAAGTTATATATTATATATTTATATATACATATATATAAATATACATATATATTCACTCGGGGTGCCCCAGAGTGGGGCGGGTGAGAGCCCTCCCCACCCCAAGGGATCCAGCCCCAGCAGCCAACCTCCACTACCCAACTGCCGCCATGCTCCAGGTCGCTTTCCGGACCACACATCATAAGACACTTCCTACTCATTTTCCATAATTATCACACCATATTTAATGGGGTTCAGACATTAGGCAACAAATCATAGAGATAAATATAAATACACACCTCTCAGAGATCCCGGCAAGCTATGGTATCCCGCCCGCTTGGGCAGAGCCTGGCAAATTCCCCGGGGTGTATTCGATATGCCAAACAGTAACGATAACAGGTCTCATTCCCCTTACCCTGAAAGGGCCCCCAATCGCTGAGAAAGATGAGTAAGAAGAACTGCTAAAATCTCAGGGCTGGGAGGAATAGAGGCGTTACTGGCGCCCGCTTGACTAAATCGAGGAACAACGGGATGACGGTGATACAGTGATATATGAAAACAATCATTTTCACTTTTTTCTTCTTTGTGTATTGGAGAGCCTGAGGATTGAATCCCGGGCCTCACACATGTATGGCAAGTGCCCTACCAACTAGGTTACATCTGAATCCCTAACTCTATGATCTGATGTTACTTCTGGTGAAGCAAAATCGTTTTTATTGAAAGAAATTTAGAGAGTCGTGAGGAGGGAAAGAGAAAGAGAGAGATATGCTCAAGAGAGAACAGACTTTAAAAAGCAAACCAGCAAGCCTAAAACTATGATCGTAAAAAGACAGCTGGACATTCCTTTTACAGAACAGAACAGAAAGTTGCAAATACAAAGTGTAAAAATGTGAAAATATTATCTTGATATTATGTCTCATTTTTTCTTAAAGAGGGAGAGAGAGAGAGAGAGAGAGAGAGAGAGAGAGAGAAAGAGAGAGAGAGAGAGAGAGAGAGAGAGAGCGCTTTAGTACAGCGGGCAGAATACTTGCCTTGCACGTGGCCAACCCGGGTTTGATCCCTGACACCCCATCGGGTCCCCCAAGCATAATCAGAAATTAATTCATGAGTACTGAGCCAGGAGTGACCTCAGAATATTACTGCGACCCCCTCCACTTTACTTCTACCCCCACCTAATGAATAAAGCTAGACCCTCAGAGCAAGAATATTCTCATGACCTTTTCATAGGCTAGAGATAGCTCAGAGGCTGCAGAGCATGCCTGCTCTATGCAGGTCCTTAGTCGGTCCCTGGCACTCTTCGGCTTCCTGGGTACTTTCAGTGTAGCCCTGTGGTCCTCGGTAGTGGTGGGCACCAAACCCACCCAAAAGGAACTTTCTCAAGAGAACGGTTTGCATTGTCTAGATGAAAATAAGGTAATATCGAGGCCAAGATGTGGCTTGAGGCATAGAGCATTTATTTGCCCTGCATCCCTGTGATGCAGCTGAGGCAGTGGGTCTCTGGGTTCATTCACAATTCCCAAGTTCTTCAATATTTTCAGGAATATAGATGCTCAGGAACATAAAATAAAGATGCTCAGACTCAGAGTTGAAAAGCAGAAAAGTTTAATGGAAAATAGAAGAGAAAAGCAAAGGAGTTCCCGAGGGGAGGGGCTTAGTCTAGAACTAAATTACAAGGGAGGGTTGTATTGGATCAATTTCTTATCCACTGAGGAGTGTTACAGAGGATGTAAGGAAGTTACTGGTTTGTCTTTCTAGTCATTTGCCCCAGGCTCTATGGGCTCTCTGTGAGCCTAAACTCCAGGGCAGGATTTTATGGTCCTGGGGAACTCCTGAGATGTTAAGACATGACCTCCATGGATGGGGGAGAGATGAAGCATCTGGCAAGAGATAACTGCGGCTTCCTCTCTGACTGGCCAGCAGAAACTGACGCTGCCATGTTAAGAATGGAGATGGCGGGGCTGGAGCAATAGCACAGCGGGTTGGGTGTTTCCCTTGCACGCGGCGGACCCAAGTTCGATTCCCAGCATCCCAGATAGTCCCCTGAGCACCGCCAGGGGTAATTCCCGAGTGCAGAGCCAGGAGTAACCCCTGAGTATCGCCGGGTGTGACCCAAAAAGTAAAACAACAACAACAACAAAGAATGGAGATGGCTACACCCAATTTGAGCCCATGTTTCTACACCATTCTCTGAAGTGACAGCGCCGCATCTGAGAGCAAAATCAAGCATTTCTCAGCTAGAAAGCTCCGCCTTCCCCCTTAACTTACTTCCCAAACTACAGTCTTCTAGTTCATGGGGGTGGGGTGTGGGGAGGGGGCAGTAATTATCTCCTCAGTCAAGTCTAAGGATAAAGGTCTAAGATAAAGGCTTTCCAGAGCTGCTTCCCAACCTCAGGCCTTCCGCTGCACAGAAATTTAAAACAGTCACCTTCCTAAGTATGTAAATGTCTCCTGGGATCCACAGCCACTGTACTCAGCACCCAGTGCTGAGGAGACTCCGGATGGGGCTGGCTTGGGTAGCCTGAGACTAGTCTCTCTAACCCTATTGGAGCCCACAAGGGTAAATGCCCTCGTGGCGCTTCTTCCAAGAGTGGCCTGGCACAGCCCAAATCATTTGAGAGGCTATTTGGGGCATTTACCTATTGTGTTCAGTCTGTGTCCCAGCACTCCTTTTTTCTTTTAACTTCTCCCAGAGCAGCATTTGTATGCATCAGGAAGAGAAAGTTTATCAAAGACACGGCAGTGATTGTTATAAGCAGTTCTATCTCCTCTGCTCTACAACTGCTACTCAAATTCTGCATGCAGGACTATGGACAGATCCCCAAGGCCTACAGCTGGGGGGGAGGGGGAGTAAACTGGGGGGGAGTGTTAATTCTAGGGGACAGTAGCAGGGCACACCCTGAATCTTGCTCTGCATTTTCTGTGAATGCCTGAGGCATCGAAGAAGGAAAGGTCTGGGAAAGAAATATACAAGAATATTCACCACATAAGAATCAACTTTTGGGGTCAGAGAGACAGGAACGGGGTTCAATCCCCAGCACAAGATAAGGTCCCCTGAGCCCTGGAATATACACCCAGCACAGGTGGATGTGGTCCAACAAACACCCACCCACCACCTGCCCCCCAAAAATAAACTTTTGGTGAGAGAAGGCCAGAATGAGTAACTGATCAGGAGCTTTAATCAGTTTTCAGTGTGGAGAAGAACATAGTCATGCATTATTTTTCAACCTAACACTATACTGTAAAACATTAAATAAAGAAAACATCTGAGACACATGAGGTTGTCCCTCTCTGTCCACAAAGCAATCAGTCCACATACCCCATGAAAGTCACGGTAAAGGCATGGTTGGGGCAGGGAGGCGATCACATAACACAGAATTGTGAATAAGGCGTAAGCGGACGGGTGAGCATGAAGGCAGTGGGCAACAAAGGAAAGCAGATGCCCAAAGCCTCTGCTTCAGACAGGAAGAACTGGGGAAGGGAAGAGGGGTGGGAGATCAAGGAAGGCAGCGCCAAGGAACGCAAGGCAATGCTCAAAGGAAAACAAAGCAGAACAAGAAGGCCAAGAATTGTTCCGAGATTCTGTTCTGGTTGCACACAGTATCACTTGGATCTTGAAGCCAGGGCACCGTTATGCTCATTTCACGACCACAACACTGGATCTTGCAACTACAAGAGCCAGGAAGTCCAAACCCACTACATAGTATTTTTTAACCAAGCTTGGGGAACAATGCAAAGTAAAGCAAACTGAGACAGGCAGAGGCAGCGGCATCCAAACAAACAAAAGATGCAAAGAAAGAGCCTGCAGAGGGTCTCTGTGTAAACTGCAGGTCCCTCGGGTGCAGAAGGGCGCCGGCCTCCCAGCAGGAAGCGGTCAGGGTTGAGGGCACAGGGGCCCCGTAGCACAGAGACAAGAGAGGACCGACCCTCCCACGGTCTAGAGAGGCCCCGGCGCGGCCCGGGGGTGGGGCGGAGCGCCGCTTCCGCTTCCGGGAGCAGAGGCCCCACGTGTTCCGCCCCGCCAGGCCCCGCGCGGCTCGGATCCGGCGGCGCGGCGGCGCGGGCCGGGAGTGGGTGGGGAACGAGCCGGGGCTGGGGAGGAGCTGCCGGCGCTGCAGAGCCGTGAGTCCTGGGCCGGGCCGGTGCTGCGGCGGGGCGAGGAGGAGGGGCCGGAGACCCCGCCCCCAACGCCCGGGGGCGGCGGGGGCTGGGGAGGCGGCGGCGGGGGGCGCCGGGGCCCGACCCCCGGGCGCGCAGGATGCTCGCTTCGCAGCCCCGACTCTCCGCCCGCCCCCGAGGCCTGCAGAAGCGCTGCCCGGATCTCCGGTCGCGACCGAGCCCACCGCCCGGCCCCTGCCCCGGGCCGGGACCCAGGGAGGCGTGGGCTAGGCCCCTGTGAGCCTCAGTCCGGTCTCTGCGGGGGCCCACGATGGCCCCTGCAGACCCCCTGCCCATCCCTCGGCACCTCCGGGCCTCCCTCTCCCCCCACCCAACGCGCCAGGTACACTCACCCTCCGGCTTAGCACCCTCTCTCCAACACCCACGATTGCACCTCCGGCCTGTGGCTTCCCGGCGGCCGACCCCGAGCCTCCCCTGCCAAGCCCCCTCCCCCCACGCCCCACAGCCAGCTGCGCCTCTCTCCCCGACTCAGCTGGCCACCAGCAGACCCTGGGGTTTTGGGGGTTTTTTTGTTTGTTTTTTTGTTTTATTTTGTTTTTTACACGGTTTGACCAAAAGTTTGCTGGTTAGTTGAGCTGCCTGGAGATGCTCCACTCCGGATAGCAATGGGCGTCTTTCCCCAGGCGGTTCTCTTAGGTGGCCCCGGTAGCGCCACCAGCCCAGGCTCTCCAAGAGAGGCCCAGCTTCCAGCTGGGGCTTTTCCCCTGCAGGTGGCAAGCAGGTGATAGCCCACTCCCAGGCCCAGTGAATGCTCATGGAGCCCCCAGACTCCCCTCCCTGCCTCCCCTCCAGCTTTGCCCCTGGGTTTCGATGCACACAGGAGACGGGTGGCCGGCAGAGGCCGTGACAGTGGTCATTTAGAGCGGTGGCCACTGTCTTGGGTCACTTTCTGCACAGTCGCCCACTCTCCAGCTAAGCTGGTGGGCAGGGGCGGAGGGAAGAGGGAATTTCCGCCTCTGAGGACGGGAGCTGGGATTGACCATCTTTCCCCTCTCTCCTCCAGCCCTGCCCCTTTGCTCTCTGTAGTGTATTGCAGTAGACAGTCATTGCAAGGGCACTGCGAGGGTCACTGCCATGTGAGACTCGGGCACTCCAGACTGGGCACATGAGGTAAGTCAGACTCCCCACAAAGTCCGGCGTTGCCCTGGCGCGGCGTGCGCTGGGCATAGACTCTCCTTTCTGCAAACCCTCCCTTCAGGTGCCTGGCACCAAGAAGCCGGGCGCTCTTGGCCCAAACCCCAGACTCGCTTCCTTTTCTCCAGGTAGTCCTCCACCTGGCCGCCCATGCCCAGCCCCTGAGTAGCCTTGTGGGCCAGATGGCCTGGCCACCCACAGAGCTGTCGGTGATCGTTCTGGGCCGAGGTTTGAGCATGGGCATTTTTTTCTGACGAGTACGTTCTCAGGCACTTTGTTCTGAGTCTGGGTTTCTCACTTTGACAACCGCCACCTTAGGCCAGACCTCGTTGACCATGCACAGTGCTTTGGGGGTCAGAAGGTACCTCCCGTGGGAGGAGCAAGAGATGTGGAGGGAAATCGGCCACCCAGAGCCACGTTCCTGAGTGTCGCGTGGAGCGTGTGCTTTAAGGAAGCTCAGTGAGCCGCCTGGCGTCAAGCACATCTGGAGCTGCACCCGCATACCCCAGGGTCCAGAGTAGAGCCCTGTCCCCACCCCCCGCAGCCTCGCCACACTGTCATCCACCACATCAAAGGTGTTTCCTTTCCGCTCTGCTTATATGAAAATACTGTGGCCTCCCCAAGCAGTGCTTGGGGGCCGCCAATTAGTCGAGCAGTGCCTGGAGGCCACTGGGGCCAGGGGTGTTGGGGGTGAAAAGGTGCCTTGTCTGTGTGTGCTCCCCCCCACCCCCTGCCCCGGCCCTTGGGGTGGCTCCCTGGGCCCACCCTCATTTCTGAATTCCTCTGCTAGGAGTTCTGGGGTGGAGAGAGCAAAGAGCTTGCACCCCCATTCTGGGTTCTTGCTATGACACTGCATCGGATGATCTCTGAGCTCAGCCGTAAAGCCAGCTTGCCGGAAACATGCTTGTTTCCACTTTCTGTGCCCTGAGCCGTGGGGACACTGTGGCGCAGAGCAGGGACGGGGAGCCATTGGATTCCGTGTGCCGGGTTTGACCACCCAGAGTTCCGGGCGCCTAGGGATCTGCATTCAGGGTTGCCACCCGGGTTCACTACCTTCTGTTGGACCAAGCACCTCTTCCAGTGAAACAAGTGGAGAGTGTCTGCTCTTCAGGGTGGGCTCCCAGAGAGACTGCAGACAGTGCTCACCACGAAAGGGGCTTCCTGGCGCAATCTGACACTCCCAAGGAGGCCGGGGTCTGATCTTCCATCTCCTCACGTGTGAGGAAGGAGTCGAGTGCCAAGCAGGGAGGAGGCCGACAATGCTAACTGCAAAACCAAAACGGGAGTTCTGACTTGACCGTGCTTTTAGGCCTGCCGCAGGCTTGGGTCACCCCTGCCAGTATGCTTTGAGATCACATTCAGGGCCCGAGCTGTAGCACAGCGGGAAAGACTCTTACCTTGCACGCAGCCAGCCTGGCGCTTTGCCCCCCAGCACCCCAGATGGTCCCCCAAGCCTGCTGGGAGTGGTCCCGGCACCAAAGCAAATCCAGCCAAGTCTGCTGAGCTCCATGGCTGTCCCGCTCCCTCCTTGGGCTAAGTGATGGGCTTGAGGACCACCCTTTTTCTACTTCAGATTAGTAAACTGAGGCGCACAGATTGAGCCCATCGTTTTGTCCGGTAGCCTCACTTCCTACTGGACAGTAACCAACGCGATCCTGGGTGATCATTATAGTCCAGCCGCCAGGCCCCCTGCGCACTCTGGTATATCTCGTAGTTCAGGCGCTCAGGGGAGCCGCATGTCCAGGGGCCTCTCAGAGCCCAGCCTTTATAGCCGGACCTGCCGAAACAGCCTTGAGTTTTCAAAAGCTGTTCCAGCCCACACCCAGCAACAGAAACGCCCTGGTCTCTGGGAGGTGCTGGGGGCCTGTCCCAGAACACTGACCGGAGCAGGGCTGCCTGGGTAGGCACCCGTGCCCATAGCTCGGGGAGGAGCGTCATGCAGAAATACGGAGCGAGTTGTCTGGAGTCTCTTGCAGCTTTGTGTCTGCCTTTGTTTTCCTCAGCGTCTTTATGGCCACGGTAGGTCTCCATCCTAACCGTTACAGAGTCTGTGCGTCTCAGGTGTCGAGAAAGGAAAACAGTGATGCTCTGCCCTTCCAGGTTCTAGGCTGAGACCCCCTTGAATTACAGAGATTAATCAGAGAAAACATGGAAAGGCTTACGTTGGTGCTGGAGTTCCACAAAGCTCTTAGTGCAAAGAAATGATCCCAACATGTTTTTCTAGACCCTTTTAGACAAATCATAAGTTTTAAAGACGTGACAAAAGAATTTGGGCTACTAGTAGTGAAATGACCAAGGTATTAGAGCACCTTGCCAGCCCACTTTCTCTGGGAGTGGGACAGAGTTCTCAACAGGAGAGCTCATTTGTGCTCTCTCTCTCTCTCTCTCTCTCTCTCTCTCTCTCCCCCCCCCCTTCCTCCCTCCCTCCCTCCCTTCCTCCCCTTTTGCCATTACAGGGCAAGGGTGTGTGTGTGTGGGTGTGTGTTGGGGTAGGGCTCATGTTTGATCACTGTCCTGCAGTGACCAGGATTCCCTGGTGTGTTTGGGACCTATAGCTGTCCCCCTGGCTGATAGATGAAGGAACAGGTCCACAGGCTGATAACCAGTGGTGACTTTATTCAAATCAACCATGATTATTAGAGAAACTGGAGGGTTAGGGGACAGCAGCTACACATAGGGGTTGTTGGGATCAGCATAAACATAAAAAGTGCCTCTTTAGGGGAAAAATCTAGGCGATCCGCCCAGGGGCAGAATTCCCTCGCCCAGGGGCAGAATTCCCTCGAGGGGCATATTGCTTCTCCTTTCCTTTAAACTATCATATTAAATTTACTTCTTATTTCTAGTCATTTTGTGTAAACACAGTAAGATATAGACTATCTAGACCCTAGATTAAGCTTAAAATGAAATCTCTGGACTGGTGGTAAAGGGTGACTCTTCCTGGGGACATCTCGCTGTATTTCCCAGACTGCCATCCTCAGGCCAAGTTAGCTTTCCCTAACCCCTGCAGGGCCCTTTTCAGTTACTTGTTTTTGAGTCACGAGAGTTTGTTCCATGACCGTGCTCTTAACCTACGATATTTTGTGTAGCCTTTAGGTTGCCCAATATTGAAGTGAAAATAGCTACGGCTTGGTGGGACCCACCTTTTGGGGTGTAAGGAACTAAAAGGGCAGCTGAGGCTTAAGTAAATATGATGGATACTCAGGAGTTAATGTTTTTCAGAGTCAGTTAACTCCCGTATTACAAAAGCATAGCATTAACTGTCTTCCTGTATCTATACAAAAGGGACATTGCTCTAAAATCGAAGTATGCGAAAGGGCATAAAGGAACGAGAAAAGCAAATATTTCACTTACGTATACAAAATCCAGAGCCATCAGAAGGTCTGACTTTCTAAGTCACCTGTCTGATTTGGAGATATTTGTGACTAACGGGAAGAACACCAGAAGGAGAGGTTAAAGAGACAAGGGTCGCCTGTGTCCCCAGGAGCACTGTAGAGGGAGTGATTCAGCATAAGCTCTGAAAAAGAAAGGACAACCCAACATTAAGCTTAAGATGCTTGGAACATGATCCAACAGCCCATACCCAGCAGTATTCAGGGAACCCTGTGGGACACCAGCAGGCGCCCTCCTGCCTTCCTGTCTCCGGCCCCATGTTTATATGGCAGCCCCCACTGGCCTCCCTGCACCCCCTTTATGGACTTAACCTGTCCTCAAGTGTCTTTCTTTCTGCCCCTTCTCTACACCTCTCTGTAAACCTTTTATAATAAACATTCAGCCACTTGTCCCTTTGCTATGCAAATGAGCATTGGCTCGCACAAAGGGAGAAAGTTGAAGTGGCCAAGTAAATGGCGTATAAACACAGTCTGAGGCCAGCCGTGGTGTGTGGAGGCCAGCAGACTGAATGCACTTTATTTCTTTGTGCTTTTGAGCTCAGTTTCTGAGGGATTCCTAAGTGGACTAGATGGGCTTGTCTCAGAGGCCTCTTTTCCTGCGCTGGGAGGAGGGCTGGTGGAAGTGGGAGCCTTGCTAAAAGGGCTTTTGGCAGGAGCACGTCCCCGTAAGGTCCCCTCCCAGCTCCGTTCCAAGGATCTGACTTAATTTGTAAGTGCCTTCCTACCGGTATTCTTCCTTTGGTTTAACACTTCGCATGTGATAATAGAGCAATGAGCAGTTAATATTTTTCCTGTGTATTTCATTCCGATTAAATCAAGGGTAGTTTCTCATCATTCAAATCCTGCCTTCTCAGAAGGACTTAAAGCAGCTGGAAGGAAAGAACATAATAAATTGCGCATTTCCCCGAGACCAGGCTTTGCGCTACTCTGTTCACTCCCTAAAACCCGAGGCAGGTAATACTCGGAGAATGGGACTGTGGCTGAGGGCTGCTCCACGGCTGCTGGAGGAGACTGATCTGAAATGATCAGCCCCAAAGCCACAGCGGGTGACCGTGCGGCGGAGGAGGGCACACAGACACCAGGGGCGGGAGAAGGGACTGGTGCGTCTTTCCATAACAGGGGCGTGCTGGGAAGGGCAGCTCACAACTTTAAGAGTGCTGGAGTTTCTCTTCTGGAGCAGAGGAACTGGTGCAGGGCTGGGTAGCCTCGAAAGTGATCAGACTCAAGGGTCCCAGGCACGCTGGACTGCGTTTGGGAAACAGACGGGCGGAGAGAGAAAGGAACAGAAACTGGCTAGCCAGAATCATCAGGTGCATGCTTTTTTCTTCCAAAGGAGAATCATTTGCGGCAAAATAGGGTGCCATCCCTTTTTCAGGTGAATGGCATAGGGTGTGGACGGAGCCACATCAGGGGGCAGAGATGTGGCTGCCAACCCTTGGTTCAGCAAGATCACCCCCACTGTAATGTTTCCAGGTAATGGACCAAATCACTTTTCATTTTTACGATTTTCTATTTTGGGGGGGGGGGGGGGGTGTCACACCTGGCAGTGCTCAGGGGTTCCTCCTGGCTCTGCACTCAGGAATTACGCCTGGTGGTGCTCATGGGGACCATATGGGATGCTGGAAATCGAACCCAGGTTGGCCTCGTGCAAGGCAAACACGCCCTACCCACTTGCTATTGCTCCTGCCCCGGTTTCCTATTATCCTTGAGAGTTTGAGTTCTCTGGCCCAGGGTACGTGCAGAGGAGGGGACCAGAGAAGAGTCTTCGCCTTCCCACACCCTCCCCGGTCCTCCCAAGGGAGCTGCGGGACTTCGGGAGCATCTCTGCTCCCTGACATGGCTCCATCCACACTGTCTGCCCCCCACCCCGCACTCTGCCTGGCCTCACGTGCTATCCAGAATGCATTTGGCTTTCCCCCACCCCTCCAGACTCTTCCTGAGACAGGTAGCAGAAAAGGGAAGGGTGAGCCTCAGGACAGGTCCTTCGAGCTGGCCCCGCTCACCCGGCCCAGCCTCCGACTCCCAGTCTCCCAGCCCAGTGCCAGGGCAGATGCACAACACAGTAGAGCCCACCGGCCCCCGATCTCAGCAACTCCGGCGAGTTAGGAAAGGGCTGGTCTGCGGGGCCCGGGCTTTCTTGAGGCTCCCTGTACGTGCTCTTCTGTGGGCTGTGGGGCAAAGCTGGGCTGGTCTGTCTTGACTCTATCCTCTAAGTGAGTTCCTGGCCTCTCCCCCACCCACCCCCACCGAGTCTCTGCCTTCAGCCCACCATGCCATCGTTCCCGTGCATCTCACATTCCTGGGCTGTGAGAGTAAGCATAAACACAAAGCCAGCCCCCAAAGTCTGATCTTGGTTCCGGAAGCACATTTAAAAGCAGGTGGGGAGGGCCGGAATGATGATAGTGATAGTGCCGCGGGTAGCGCATTTGCCTTGCACGCAGCCAACCCCAGCTTCAATCCCCAGATCCCATAGGGTCCCCCCAAACACCGCCAGGAGTAATTCCTGAGTGCAGAGCCAGGAGGAACCCCTGAGCATTGCCGGGTGTGCTCCCGTTCCCCCCCCCCCCAAAAAAGAGCAGGTTGGCTGTGGCTGCAGTGAGGTTCTTGGTGCTCTGTAGCGTTGGTGTGGAGTGACTCCCGTCCCCCTGATCCCTTCCCAGCCGCCTTCTCTCGCCTCCCTGTGGTGGGGTGGCGCCGACTGAGAAGCTTCCTCTGGATGCATGATCGCTATTGTAGTTGCATTAAATTTTTTGAGATCTGATTTGTGCTTATTCAACTTCTTCAAATCTGCAAAGGGCTGTGATTGGCCTGTCACTGTCCTGGGGTGTTGTATAGCCCCAGAGTTGTGGTGCAGAGTGACTGCAGAGGTGCAGAGTTGTGGCCGAGTGACTGCAGGGACCACTGAATATTGTCTGTCTCCGGCCAAGCAGTCAGTAGTAGTGGGGGTTGGGGGGGCACGGTCATTTAATTCATTTGGCCAGCACAGGAATCCTGGTGTCTGTTCTGGAGCAAGATTGGAAAGTACCCAGTTGTATTTCACGGACCTGTGGCGTGGTAGGCACTGAGCTGGGGATGGGCTGCGCAGTACCACCCCAGAGCCCGACAGCCAACAGCAGAGCCGCGCACTGTGAGGTGGGGGTGTAAGTCCCTATGGGAACACAGATGATGGAGGGAGGAGAGAGGGTAGGGAGGGTCTTGTGCACAGCCAGGCTCAGAGCCCCGATCACCGGTTTTCCTGAAAGGAGTGGGCAGCTTGTGTGTATGTGTGTTCGTGTGTGTGTGTGTGTGTGTGTGTGTGTGTGTGTGTGTGTGTTTGTGCGCACACCATACCCTGCAGTGCTCAGGGATCACTTCTGACTTGGCTCTGGGGACCCTGTGGTGGGATTTGTGCAAGGACAGCCCCTTCCCCGCTGTTCTGTGTCCAGCCACTTAGCTGGTTTCTGTGGAGAGGCCCTGTCAGGCCACCCCATGGTCGAACGGGAGCTGCTCTCTTGGATGGCCCTGAGCAGTAGGCTGGCACCTGGACAAATGCTGTATTCCAGGATTGCCCGGGAAAGAGAAAACAGTGTCCTGGGACCACTCTCGGGATCCCAGACCCTAAGGGCTTAAGAAAACAGCAGGAGAAGCCTAGACCCAGGGAGGGACCTTTGTGTGGGGAGGGACGTGTTCACGCAGGAGAGGACAGGAGATAAAAGAGGGAGGAAGGAGAGGCTGGGAGCATGTGTCAAGTTTGCATGCTGCCCTCCTGAGTAACGCATTGCAGCACCGTCTGACGTGGAGGAGTCAGCCTCGCTGGCGTTGGGGGTGGGGGGTCTGTACCCAGAAACCCGATACAGAGGATCAACTTGAAGTTCTACCAGGAGTTTCCACTGCCCGGCGGGGTGGGGGGGGGGGGGGGCTCGGCATCCGTAAGCCCTGTGGTCCAGGGGTCTGTGTTGTTCACACAGGAAGGCAAGAGTAATGATCTGGGGTTGATGGACGATCCGTGAAGAGGGCGCCTCTCTGAGATTCTCGAGTAAATGGGGGTGAGCTCAGTTCATCCGGTGGGGTTCTGGCCACCGTGACAAGGAAGGAGAGGCTGCACTTCTAGAGGGACGTTACTAGCTGTGTGCGTGCGTGCGTGCGTGTGTGTGTGTGTGTGTGAGAGAGAGAGAGAGAGAGCGAGCGCAGTCATGGGAGGCGGGTAGAAGGAAGGGCCTTGGTAAGATGGGTGAAGGACCACCTATCTGGGGTGCTGCTGGGACTCACTGGAGCTGCATGAGGGGGGAATAGGTCCCAGGACATGAAGCAATCTCTCAAGGGCTGAGTGGTAAGAACTTGATGTGCCATGTTGAAAGTTTTGGACCTGACTTCACAGACATCCTTTCTAAATTCTGAGTGGTGCTGGACCAGAGAGATGGTCCAGGGATTAAGGCTCTGGTAGCTAACCTGAGCCCTGCACGGTCCTCTGAGCACTGTCATGTATGGCCCCACCCTGCCCCCAATAAAATGAAATTGACTGAGTGCTGAGTGGTGTAGTTGGAATTACAGGCATGTAACGATCAGTGTTGGGTCATGCTCTGAGCATCTCACAGTGCTGCCCCTGGTCCTCACAGTTGCACTGGTAGCTGGACCCCCCACTCCTCTGTTCTTGTAATGGAATATAAGGACCTGGTCCTGCCTGCGATGGGTTTGGAAAAAAACATGTAGCTTGTAGTAGCATTCCCTACAGTAGCCCCCTGTAGCATTCCCAAAGATACTGTTGCAGAGAGAACAGGCCAGGTAACCAGCAGCTCTGGGATACTATGTTTCCCCAGATGGCCCACAGCAACTGTGTCCTTCTCTGACTCGGAAGTGCCCTTAGCAGTTGGGGGGGCTGAGATCCCCTGAGCAGGCAGCAGAGAGCCGCAGAGGCGATGCTGGTTTTACCAGGGCTCATGGTATGGAATCCAGCAGGTCAAAGTTGAGACTTCGAACCAGGGCTGATGGAGGCAGAGGCATGGGTGGGAGTAGCGTGTTTATTTCTGCACACTGGAATCTCCATCTCAGGCAGTCGCAGGTTACAAATCTCTAGACGAGCCTGCTTAAAAATACTTCAGAAGAGCAAGGTTGCTTGGGGTGGGGGTGGGGGGCTCTGTTTCCTTGCTGTTACCTCATCTGCTCCTTCCCTCAAGCCTCCCCAACACACACACACTCACACTCACACTCACACACACACACACTGGCAGAAGGACTTGCAGTTGAATGGGGCTTCTCTAAGAGCCTCCAGTCCCGTTGACATCTCGCTCAGAGTGTGGTCTGAGGGAGTGATCTTAGTGGTCTCTGAGTTTGCTCTCTAGCCATTTCCCTTTTGGTGCACCAAGTTCTTGCAAATGCAAGAACGGTGGTGGTTTTGTGTGCTGTGAGCTGCCCTGGGGACGTGGGGTGATCCTGGTTGGCCCCGACTTCGGGGGCATGGTTGGCTCTGCTCTGCGACTTCATAGCTCGAAAACCAGTTCCCCCTAGGGACTGAGCTAGGAATTGGCAGCGCCCAGCTTCCTTCCCATCCAGACCAAGGTTTATCTCTCCTCGCTCTGCAGGTCCCTTGGGAGAGACTCCTGGAGGTGCCCGGTCGAGCCTGGGCGCTGGCGTGAGCTCTAGATGGTGTGAGCCAGCCCAGAGCCAGAAAATGGCCAGAGCCTTGGAGGCGGACGAGCAGGGTCTTTGGGACGAGGAGGGAATTCTGACAGTGAAGCTGGAGGAGGACGTCAGCTGCCGGCCCGAGTCCATCCTGCCCGCGGACGACCCGGTGCTTGAGACCTCGCACCAGAACTTCCGGTGCTTCCGCTACCAGGAGGCCGCCAGCCCGCGCGAAGCCCTGGTCCGGCTGCGGGAACTCTGCCATCAGTGGCTGCGGCCGGAGAGGCGGACAAAGGAGCAGATCCTGGAGCTGCTGGTGCTGGAGCAGTTCCTCACGGTCCTGCCCGGGGACTTGCAGCGCTGGGTGCGAGGCCAGCGGCCCGAGAGCGGCGAGGAGGCCGTGACACTGGTGGAGGGTTTGCAGAGACAGCCCAGGAGACCAAGGCGGTGGGTGAGGAGGGGGAGTCCTGCTCTGTGTGACGTGGAGGGGAACTCTGCGGCAGGATGGAGCGGGGTGGGGTCCAGGGGCCCCCCGAAGTCCCTTGACATCCGCTCGGCCCAGCCTTGGCGTGAGCCTGTGTATCCAAGCCAGGCGGACAGGACGTGTGTGTGTGTGTGTGTGTGTGTGTGTGTGTGTGTGTGTGTGTGTGTGTGTGTATGTGACAGAGATGTATGTGTATGAAAGGCACGTGTGAGAGATGTGTATGCATGCGTGTGTGTATTCTGAAACACCTGCATGGGACCAGTTTCCGGGCTCTGGGTCCGCAGGGATCCTGTGGTTTTGGTTTTTCCCTTTGGATCTAGACCCTCCCGTTTGGGGGATTTTTGTCACAGATGCCCTCCTCTGGGGCAAAACGGGGAGCAGAGATCAAGGGGAGCCATGAGGGGCCTAGGGCATCATGTCAGGGTGACCCCTCCTGTCCCTTCCCTCCCATCCTCCCAGCCCCGGCAGCTGCCACTAGAAAGCTGAGTCCCGGTGACAGCCCAGACCCCTCCTGACGCCATGGTGACGGGAAGTTGGACTTGTTCCCAGGTGACTGTCCATGTTCACGGCCAGGAAGTCCTGTCTGAGGAAACGGTGCCTCCAGGAGCAGAGCCCACGGCCCCGAGGGAGCTGATGAACTCTCCGCAGACCGTGGCCGAGGAGTCCCCGGAGCTCGCTGCCCGGTCCCCGACTCTGAGCCCAGAGGAGCCCAGCCTGGACCATGACCCGGAGCCGCAGCCTGCGCAGGAGAGCGGTGGGGAGCCTGAGCAGAAAGACAGGGTCCCTGTGCTGGGGAGAGAGTGCCCCAGAGCTGGGGGGGTGGGGGGGGTTGTCCCGCAGCAGGGGTTCCCGCACTGCTCCTGGCCGCTTCCTATCAGTGACGGCAGGACTGGCTCTCTGCCCTTTTCGGGTACGCAGGGCCCACTGCTCATCTCTGCCTTCTCTTCTCAGAGGTTCCTGTGCCCCAGACCCCTGACCCTCCTGAGGAGAAGAACACGGGAAATCCAGAAATGGTGGCACTGCTCACTGCGCTCTCCCAGGTGCACCCCCACTTCCTCTGCCAGAAAGACCCCCTGGGCACTGCTAGCACCAACCTGCACACACACACACACACACACACACACACACACACACACGCAGACAGGACACGGGCGTGCCCCTGGCCAGCCCAGCCCCTAGCTGGGTCCCCACGGGCACGTGTGCTAGCTCTAGCTCCTCTCTGACCGCTGAGCACAAGGCCCAGAGAATGGGACCATCTGCCATCCGGCACAGCTTAAGCTCAGTCGCTACCAGAATGATTGTACTGAGGATTCTGAAGGCGGGTGGGTCCCAGTGCTCCCGGGACATCGTCAGGAAGACCAGGCTAAGCGAGTCAAGAGGAGAGGCAGGAACACCTTCCGGATGTAGCTTGGCTCAGCCGAACTGAAAGGTCTCCTGGGGTGTGAGCCGACTGGTTGGGGTGAGGAGTGCGTCCCAGAAAGAGGAACACAGCAGAAGCACCGGTCTGCGGCCCATCAGAGCACAAACCGGATGAGAACTTGTGTTATATTTGAAACAGCATCTTCAGGAATAAGGGAACATGGGCAGGAGCCATAGTACAAGCGGGGAAGGTGTTTGCCTTGCATGCGGCCTGCCCGGGTCAGTCCCTGGCATTCCATAGGGTTCCCCGAGCACTGCCAGGAGTAACTTACCCCTGAGCATCACCAGGTGTGTCCAAAAAAATAATAATAATAAGGAGCTCACAGAGGCTGGTGTGGAGGGAAAGTGGTGGCTGAAGGACTCGGCTGGGAGGAGTCTGGGATGGCCCCGAGCATCCTGCCTGAGGCCCTCGTCTCTGACCCTGATTAGTGCATTCCATAGCCCAAGAGGGTTGACTCCTTGTGTCATTTCAGGGATTGGTGACTTTCAAGGACGTGGCTGTCTGCTTCTCCCAGGACCAGTGGAGTGACCTGGACCCAGCGCAGACAGAGTTCTATGGAGAGTATGTCTTGGAAGAAGACTGTGGCATCGTGGTCTCCCTGTGTAAGGAATTTCTAGTGTTTCTAAAGAGAGCGGGGTTTTTTTTTCCCCCCTGTTGGAAATGTGCAGGGTTTGTGATTCTCAGGGTGTCTGTCTCACACGTCGCTTGCACCTGTGGGTGAGACTGAAATTTGCTGACAAAGATGAGTCCTTCCGGGTGAAAGGGGAAAGAAATGCTCAGAGGGGTTGGGCACATCCAGTCAGAAAATGAAGTTAAAATATTACCACTCTGGCGTATCTGAAGTACACGTGTGAGTCTGGAAAGCAGCAGTCAAGTTGAAATAACTGTCTGTAACTGTGGAGAAAGGGGACCGAGGAACAGCGGTCCCATTTCAGTGTCGGGGAGCTCAGAACAAAGATGTGCCCTCCAGCTACCAAACAAAACTGCAGCCAGCCTGACATCCTGTTTCCCTTCTCTCGAGCAGCATTCCCAATCCCCAGGCTGGAGGAGTTCCCCCACTTCCGAGAAGATGAGCCTGTGGTTCCTGAGACCCCTGATACTCTCGGGCCTCCAGATGCTCATGGGCCTCCAGATGCTCCCGAGCCTCCAGAGCCAGAAATCCTGAGTTTCACCTACACGGGTGAGGGGCGTCCCCTGGCGGGCCCTTTCTCCCTGGGGATTGCCTGAACCCCGAGTCCTTCCCTCCCGCCCTCCGCCACTTGCCAGCCCAGCAGTTGTTTGGCAGGAACCGGCCGTGCCTGGGCTCTTTTCTAAGCGGCTCGCCAAAATCTCCCCATGTGAAGTGATGACAGCATGTGTCCACACGAGGGTGTGGCATCAGCATTAGATGATGGCCAGGAAGGGTGTCCCCGTCGATGGGTTTTCTCCTTCCCATCCCCAGCGATTAGGAAGTCAAGGAATCTCTTGAGAGCCGTAGGAAGCCATGTTTTCCCCGCTCGGACCCCCAGGATACCCCGAAGGAAGCCCCAGTGAAAGTCACATCAGTGGGGAGCTATGGTGTGAGACCAGGGGGCAGGCTGGTGGGCTGGGGGACCACGATCGGGAGAGGGTTGAGTATGATGGGGCTGGACACCTCAGCTCTCGCTCTCCCGGGGCCCCTCAGACCACCTGTTGGCCACAGAGGTCCAGAGGCAGCCTCACTGGAGAACTACCCCACACAGCTGGGTTGGGGGCAGGGGGTGGGGCCTTTGGGGGAGGGAGGTGAGAGCATCGGTGGTATTGGGCTTCTGCGTCGGAGAAACCGTTACTGACGGCATCATGAAGCACAGACGCCTGGGTCGGTTCTGGAGAACGCCAACCCCGGGCCCTGCCTCTGTGCTCTCTCCCCAGGAGACAGGAGCGAGGAGGAAGAGTGCGCCGAGGCAGTGGCCGTAGGCGGTGAGCGTCTCTGCCGGCCCGCGCTGGGCAGCCCCGAGGTACACCAGACTCCGGACTGGGAGATCGTCTTTGAGGATGACTCCGAGAGACCTGGCGAGAGGAGGGTGGCGGCCAGCCTGCCCCCAGCCAACAGCCTGCCCCCGGCCAACAGCCTGCTGGGCCTGTGCGAGCCGACACCCCTGCCGCTGCTGGCGCGCCACCACGACTGCCCCGTGTGCGGCAAGAGCTTCACCTGCAACTCGCACCTGGTGCGGCACCTGCGGACGCACACGGGCGAGAAGCCCTACCAGTGTCCGGAGTGCGGCAAGAGCTACACCCGCAGCTCGCACCTGTCCCGCCACCAGAAGGTGCACAGGCTCGCCGCGGCCGCCAGGGACCCCCCGGACCAGAAGGAGCTCGAGGACGCGGCGTCCCTCGCCCGCCCCGAGAAGACGCCCACCGTGGACAAGCCGTACCGCTGCGAGGCCTGCGGCAAGCACTTCCGCTGGACCTCGGACCTGGTCCGGCACCGGCGGACGCACACGGGCGAGAAGCCCTTCTTCTGCACCATCTGCGGCAAGAACTTCAGCCAGAAGTCGGTGCTGACCACGCACCTGCGCATCCACCTGGGCGGCCGGCCCTACCTGTGCGGCGAGTGCGGCGCCGACTTCAGCGAGCACCGGCGCTACCTGGCGCACCGCAGGACGCACGCCCCCGACGACCTGTACGTGTGCCGCGAGTGCGGCCGCTGCTTCACCCACAGCGCCGCCTACTCCAAGCACGTGCGCAGCCACGCCACCGGGCGGCCCTGCCGCTGCTCCGAGTGCGGCAAGTGCTTCAGCCGCCGCGACCACCTGGTGCGCCACCAGCGCACGCACACGGGCGAGAAGCCCTTCACCTGCCCCACCTGCGGGAAGAGCTTCAGCCGGGGCTACCACCTCATCCGGCACCAGCGGACCCACTCCGAGAAGACCTAGCAGGGCCGCAGGCTTTCCCCCACCCCCGGCCGAGGGCCTGGCCACAGCTGCTCCCGCGCTGCTCGGAACTCCGGGGCGGACCTGCCGGGGCTTCCCACCGGGGGTGCGGAGCTGAGGCGGTGCTGGGGACGGTCTCCCCCACTTTTCCTCGAAGACTTGAACAGCCTCGTGTTTCCCGCGGCCCAGGGCCGTCCCGCCTGGCCCCCATGTCCAAGTACATGGCCCTGAGCGGCCGGGAGAGCCACGGAGCTTCCTGCACTGTACCCTGCACTGGGCCACGGGCGTGTCTGAAGGGTGTAGTGTCTGAGGCTGCTGCTCCGGGACGTGGCCGGTGGCACCTGCCCCCTGGTAACAGCGTGGGGGTGCACAGGGAGGCCGGCCGGTGCCCCTTCCCCGTGGGGGCTCCCACTGGAACACTCGCGCCTTCTGCCTCCCCACCTCTGCCAACCGTCTTGCTTCTGCCCGCCGTGCTCGTGCTGCTGTGCCATCCACCACGTGGTGCCCGACATCCCGCCCGCCGTCTTCGCACCGGCCTGGGGAGGGATTTCCCAAGAACGTCCCCCGACCGGGAGGCACGACACTAACCCCAGAGTTTTGGTTGGGACCGACTGGGTCACCTGACTGACACGAAGAGAACTGGAGAAGAGCTGAGATCCGTGTGGGAGGGAGAAAGTAAGCAAAAGGCAGAGCGCCCGGCGGGCGAGGCTCCCCTGACGCCCAGTGGCCACCACGCCTGTGCTCTAGCACAAGGGACGAAGCTGACACCCGCTTCCGGGACACTGAAGAGCCTGCCGGGAGAAAGCGGCTCTTGCGTATCTGCTCCGTTTGCTCCGTCGTAGGCGAGCCCATTTTCCTGTAGTGAAGGACTCAAGAGTGTGTCTCCCAGCCTCAGACGCTTGATGCCTGACGCTGGCTGCATCGAGACGAGGCTGTGGAACTGTGACCGGGCTGGGGAGACCCCTGGGCCAGGGAGACTCCCCACAGATGGAGCATGGGATGTGGGATTAGAGCTAGAGAAGGAGCCTGCCTGCTGCTCTGTGAGCCTGTGGGCAGCAGGGCCAAGTGGCTTCCACCCCAACCGCCCCGCCAGGAACCCCTCGCTCTGGCCAGTGAGGGTGTCCCGCCCAACCTGTGGTGAAGGCCAGTCGGCCACGGGGAGGGAATAAACACAATGGAAATAAAGAGAAGCTCTCTGGCTGCTGGGACTCTGTCTTCCCGTTCACACCCGCCAGGGTCAGACCCGAGCCCCGAGTGGGCCAGAGCGGTTTCCCCAGATGCCCGCTCAGAGCCCGTCCTCACACTCCAGCAGGCAGGTCCTGGCTGTGGGCTGGGGTTGAGGCGCATAATGCCCCGGGTCCCCTGATGGTGGACAGTGAGGGTGTCCATTAGTGGAAGGTCATCGGGTGGCAGGAAATTTTTTTAAACATTTATTTGGTGACTGGCACTGCAGTGAGTCTGCTGACCCAACTCTGCCTTTGGGAACGCCACTGGCTGGGCTCCCCATGCTGGCATGAGCTCCCTGGCCTCAGAGACGGCTATGCTCTCAGAGGAGCATGAACTGCCTTGCCAGTGGCTCTCCAGCGCCCACTGCAAGGGACATTTCACTGAACATTTCACTGTCCCTTGCACAGCAGAACCTGCCCGCACCCCTGCATGGTGGGCAGAGACTGTCCACCCCAGTCCAGCTCACAGCAGCAGCCTGGTGACCTTCGCAAGAGGAGCATGAGGGCTCCCCACCCCCCTCCAGAATCACTGATCCATCCAGCAGCAGCTGCCCCAGGAGTTCAGTCTGAGAACTGGACACCAGTGGGGAGGGCTAGCAGAGGACCTGCTGCCCTCCCACCATGGGGCCTTTGCCGTCTGCTCGGCTGCCACGCCATGGCTTCCACCCTCAGCAGAGAAATCCTGTCTTCTTCATTTACATTCTCCATGGTGTTGGATGGTTCCATCGGGGGAGGAAAGGACAGCAGGGAGGGTGCTTGCCTTGCTTGGGGCTGACTCAGGTTCAATCCCCCGCATCCCATAGGGTCCCTCAAGCACTGCCAGGAGTGATCACTGAGTGCAGAGCCAGGAGCAGCCCCTGAACAATGTCGCGTGTGACCCAAAATGAGAGCCCCCATATGCACTTTTCACCCTTGTCAGAATTCATGTCCTTAGACTTCAACCCACCTCCCTCAAAGAATGGCTGGTTCTTCCTTGGAGAAATCCTGGGGTGGGCCAGGAAAATGCCCAAGATCTTTGAACTGGCTGACCTTTCATCCTTATCGGTGGTTACCAAGCTAACAAAAATTAAGCTACCCCATCACTGTGCAGTTCCTCCTCTTCAAAAGGTATGCTCTCAGAGGAGCATGAACTGCCTTGCCAGTGGCTCTCCAGCGCCCACTGCAAGGGACATTTCACTGAACATTTCACTGTCCCTTGCACAGCAGAACCTGCCCGCACCCCTGCATGGTGGGCAGAGACTGTCCACCCCAGTCCAGCTCACAGTGTGATTCTGTGGGAGAAAGAAGGCGGAACGCAATTCAAATCCATGTAGAGGAATCAGCCCAAACAAGACGACGTAGAAATCTGTAGGACGGATCCCTCCAAGGAGACGAGGCTAAAGGACAGCTGTAGAATTGTAGGGAGGCAGGAGACCTCCCTCTCCAAAAGTAAAGGCACTTGCCTGGAACACAGCCCACCGCAGTGTGATCCCTGACACTGCACATTCGTTCCCAAGCCCCACCAGCAGGGATCCCTGAGCACAGCTGGGCGGGGACCCCTGAAGGCAAAAACAAAAAGCAGAACTAGTGATTTGATATATGTTAAATATCCTCACTTATTAAAAATATATGGGGGCAGGCTGGAGCAAAGGCACAGCGGGTAGGGCGTTTGCCTTGCATGCGGCTGACCCAGGTTCAATCCCTGGCATCCCATATGGTCCCCCAAGCACCGCCAGGAGTAATTCCTGAGTGCAAAGCCAGGAGTAACCCCTGAGCATTGCTGGGTGTGACCCAAAAAGCAAAAAAATAAAAATAAAAATATATGGGGTCGAGCTGGAGCAATAGCACAGCGGGTAGGGCATTTGCCTTGCACACAGCTGACCCAGGTTTGATTCCCAGCATCCCATATGGTCCCCTGAGCACCGCCAGGAGAAATTCCCAGTGCAGAGTCAGGAGTAACCCCTGAGCATTGCTGGGTGTGACCCAAATATATATATATATATGCAGATATATATATATATATGCAGAGAGATAGTATAGTCTTATCTAGGACAGGACATTTTCACACGCGCCAACCTGGGTTCATTCCTTAGCGCCATGTACAATATTCTGTGCCCCTCCAGGAGTGATGCCTGAGCACCACCAGGCATACCTCCACCACCATATAATAGAAACTAAAATAATCTAAACAGCTGCTAATGAGTTTGTACAGAGCCAAGTACAGTATGGTATTACTGCATATGCCTCACATGTGGCTGACGCAGGTTCAATCCCCAGCACCCCATATGGTCTGCTGAGCCTGCCAAGAGTGATCCCTGAGCACAGAGACAGGAATAAGCCCTGACTGCAGGGTGTGACCCCCTCCCCCCGCAAAAAAAAAGTAATGTAAATAGAAGTGAAAAGGGGAAAGGCACATAGTAGGTAGTAAATTAGTAAAATGGTCACGGTCACGGTCCTCCCATTGTTCATCAATTTTGCTCAAGCGGGCCCAGTAACGTCTCCATTTTGAGACTTGTTACTGTGTTTGGCATATGAATACGTGACGGGTAGCTTGCCAGGCTCTGCCATGCATGCGAGATACTCTCATAACTGCAATGTATGTCAATAGAGTAACGCCCAGATGTGTTGCGTGTACATGGACTTAGAACAGTTTTTTGTCCTCATTGTTTCTTCCTGTGGCTCCTCCTCACTTCTGACCATTGGCCGCTGCCCTTCACCCCAGTTGATGCGAGTTTCACCTGTGTCTCCCTCTTGGGATCTCTTGGGGGTCACCATGGAGAAACGCTGAGAAAACATGGGTAGGCTGAGCATGAAACACCCTTCAAAATCAACAGGCCCTTGGGCAGTGGGGCAGAGGACAAGGCATCATAAAACCTTCCAGAGTCGAGAATAATCCAGCCCACCACAACTAAGAGCAACATCATCTAACCCACAAATACAGAAACGGAGTTACCAAGAGTGACATAATGCATCGGGTCACGGCTAGAGCTGACCGAAGAGACAGCCCTGGAAGCCAGGCTCTCAGTGTGAGCCCCGTGCTGGCACCTGACCGCCATGATAAACATTCTCTGAGCAGCGATGGGAGCAAGTGCTGAGCCAGACCCTACAGTGCCCCACAGTGCCAGCTGGACCGCGCTGCAAGGATTCAAATCAGCAAGGCCGTGCTCTGCTGGCTGGCAGAACATGTAGTTTACGGAATAGCCACTAGAGGTCGCCTCCCAATACTGGAGGCTCCACGTTTCTGCAGGGACCCACCCCAGCCTGCAGACCTGACTCGAGTAGAACTGTCACTGTCACTGTCACTGTCCTCCCATTGTTCATCAATTTGCTCGAGCAGGCCCAGTAACATTTCCATTGGAGACTTTGTTGTTACTGTGTTTGGCATATCGAATGCGTCACGGGTAGCTTGCCAGGCTCTGCCGTGCGGGTGAGATACTCTTGGTAGCTTGCAGGGCTCTCTGAGAGGGGCGGAGGAATCGAACTCGGGTCGGCCATGTTGGCTGCGTGCAAGGCAAACGCCCTACCGCTGTGCTATCGCTTCAGCCCTGGAGTAGAACAAAATAGGGAAAAGTCCAGGAAGCTACTTTATGTCTGTGTGTGGAGGGGGGGAGGGGGACCGGGAGTCAGGTGCAGGGTCACCTGGGTATACTCAGGGCTTAATCCTAGCCCTGTGCTCAGGGATTACTCCTGTCGGGGCTAAGAGAATCTTATGAGGCACCAGGGATCAAATTCAGCTCAGCTGCATGCAAGGCCAGTGCCCTACCCCCTGCACTATCTCCCCAGGCCCGGAATTCACAT